GTTACTTCACAACCCTGTATATATATATATATATATATAATTTTTTTTTTGTACAGTGTATGGCATCGTTGATAAACACCACTTTTGGTTCCTTTCTTTTTAAGAGTTAAGTTCTAGAAATGTGCAAGTTATTTAAATAAAACTTCGACAAGGGTCTCAAAGTGAAAAATCATTTCCCTTTGATAACAAATGCTGTTTCCCAACGCACTATTACAGAAAATGATTACACCTTAAAATCTATGAATTGCATCTGACAAGACCAAAGACACCAGCAGACACAAGGGGCCTCTTTCCATCTTCTTATAACGATAATGAACAGTAAAAATCAGGGAGCTCAGGCCAACAAAATCCTGGCTGCGTTTCGCTGGCTGTTTATTGGCGCTTAATGAAAAACAATTTATCTAAATCACCGCCCCGGAGGATTCGTAGTTAAAGCTTGTGGAGAGAGGGGTGGGATTTTTCTCAGTGACAAATGCGCTACTGTTTTTCCAATTCAAATCCAGTAGAGGGAAGAAAACAACCGTTTACATTTAGGGCGGATGGAGGCGAGAGAAAGAGCGAGATGATAGAGGTGAGGCGGTCTCGAGCACAGTTTGCTTACTAAATATTGTCATGTCTAGATGTCAACCATAAGTGTGCACACTTAAATTAATGTGCCCCGGAATGCTTTAGAGCCTATTTGGTTTCATTTAAACATCGAAGACACATACGTCATATTTTTTCAAGCAGTAGAAATCCATAATGAAAATGTCTGCAACTGTTTTTAGCACTGTAATAATCCTTGAATGACAGTGAACACAGTGCCTGGCTTCCAGGTGCGAGCCCATTTAACGAGCAGGCAGACATACTTACCCTTTAATTATCACTGAGATCAGATGCAACCGCCCAGTCCAACACGAGCATAAAAAGAAACGCTTTCCATAATGCAACGTATTCAGTACCAGAATAGTACTGGTACCAAATTGCATTTGTATTTTAATTAAACACTATGCCCATCCACAGATTTTCCTCTGTGCATACATATAACCAGAACGTCTCGGTTACGTATGGTAACCCTCGTTCCCTGAAGGAGGGAACGGAGACGTCATGTCGTGACCGACGAATTGGGATATCGCTTCGATAGACCAATCTACTTTGAGTATAAACTAAACGAGCCAATGCACATTGGCATGCAATTATTACATCCAGCTGCCGCTGATCACAGCGTGAGTATAATAAGGCAGCAGGTGCAATGCATACCAGGTTTTCGCTGAGGAGCCGAGCCGGAGACGTACAGCCGTACAGACGTACAGCCGTGGTACAGCAACCATGGCGACGGGACATGACGTCTCCGTTCCCTCCTTCAGGGAACGAGGGTTACCATACGTAACCGAGACGTTCCCTTTCAGTCGGTCACTACGAGTCACGTCGTGACCGACGAATTGGGATCCCTACCAAAGCACCATGGTGCTGCCCCTTCCAGTGCCCTGTGCGAGCCGCCTGCGCCCCTATCTGGTGTAGGCCGGGGCTCGGGACAAGTAGTTCCACTCACCATTTTTCAAAGCACTACCTTACTAAGTGAGACTGGATAACACTGGGAAAACGTACCCGCTCCACTTGGAACAGGGACGCTGCGGAAGCCCCATCCTTCCCGAAGGAGGTTTCGGAAGCAAATACACATATAGCATCCATTCAGGTGTATATGGAGAACTGGAGGTGATTGTAACCCTCTTGGAAAGGCAGAAGTCTGCCAGGGAAAAACAGGCTCTATGGCTATACCGTGGACTATACACATACGAGAACCGCTTAGGTCTCAATATGGAACCCAGCCTTCCACGGTTCCCGCGGATTCATCGTGAAGGCCCGGCGCCGGACGTTCCGCCGCGTCCGCTGCCGAGGGTGACGGAGGATCTCAACAGGGTCTACTGTAGGACACTCTGGAGCAGTTTTAGCAAGCCGACACTAACCGGGGCCTCTCGGCGCCACTACCCGTTTGAGGTGAGAACACAGGAGGATACCGGCTCCACACGGAGGCTATAGAATCTAGCGAACGTGTTGGGGGTCGCCCAGCCCGCAGCCCTACAAATATCTGTCAGCGAGGCGCCACGAGCCAACGCCCAGGAGGATGCAACACTTCTAGTTGAGTGAGCTCGCAGCCTGAATGGGCAGGGCACACCCTGTGCCTGATAAGCCAGGGTGATGGCATCCACAATCCAGTGGGCCATCCTCTGCTTAGAGACGGCATTCCCCTTCTGCCGGCCTCCGTAACAGACAAAGAGCTGGTCTGAGGTCCTGAAGCTTTGTGTCCGGTCTACGTAGCACCTTAATACTCGGACGGGACAGAGCCGGAGGGCGGCAGCGCGGCCGAATCCTCATCGGACAGCTCTCCCTCCGATGCTGAGGTCGACATCTGGTCGGGGGGAGGTCCACTGGATACCGATTGGATTTGAGACTTTAGTCTTTGCAACTTTACAGATCTTCTTTATGCACCAAGAGCTTGTAACACTCTAAAGAGAAAGGAAAAAATGAAATCGCATCATATGACCCCTTTAAGAGGAGCTTGGAAGCTAAGCCAAAGTCAGTGCTAATGTGGAACTACAGTAGTTAGCGCACTCTCATTATTATTCCATTTAGAATGGAAGTAATGGTCAACCTTGACCTAGTATGAGCTTTAGTTGGTGGTCAAAAGCCTAGGTATATTTCACCTAAAAATGTAAATTACATGGAAGGAAAAAAAAAGTCATACGAGGGATTTTTATTGTTTGTGTGAAATGTTCCTTTAAATGTTGTTGAATGAGCTAAGGTGCAGGGTGCCAGGTAGCAGCAAATTCACTAAGAACTTTTCAAACTAAAATGCCTAAAATGTTATGGCTAATAATTACTTTTTACTCAGCAAGTATGCTATAGGGTTCATTGTAATACTCTCTAAACCTCTTTTCCAATTATTTTTAACATACCCTACTGTATTATAATTGATACACAAATTTATAAGGTCTAAATGATTAGCATGATCCAAGCGTCTGAAAAACATGTTGTACACAATCTACTGTTGTACATCCCTTCTGTTGTCAGATTGATAGTTTTGCATGCATTTTTAGCAAAATGATACATCAGGCTTTTGAGGAATGTTTATTGCTCATCTCTCAATCACCATTGTATTGCATTGCACTAAAGGTTTGCCCCAAACAATAATAACTACAGAGTCCTGATTGTTTAAAGGTTCACTGAATTCATATTTAAAAATGTTTTAATAGACTATTATTTCATATGTCAGACTTTACAGGGTTAACCTTTGTGCCTTTCTATTTTTTCTTAGATAATGGTGCTGACTGACCCAGAGTTTGAAAGCAGTGTTCTCATCAGCTCAGATGAAGGTGCCAGTTATCAGAAGTACCGCTTGAACTTCTTTGTCTTAAGTCTTCTTTTCCATCACACACAAGAGGACTGGGCTTTGGCCTACAGTCATGATCAGAAGGTAAGATTTGCAGTGTACAAGCAAAAAAAAAAAAGAGCCTGCAGTGGTAAATATCACAAATGACCATATTCACTTAATGAACATTCCTGGTCTTTTTGACGATGATTCATCAGTTCATGTTATTCCAAAAATAAACATTCCAAAACGGGGTTTTCACAGCAGCAGAATAAATATTTTCTAAACTTTCGGTGAACTTAAAAAAAAAAAAGAATTTTTTTTTTATTTTTTTTTATAAATGTTAACCATTAGTGAAATAGTTTTATCAAACTCACATTCACAATGGCTTTATTTTGGTATTTAATCCATTTATCCAGTTAATCCTCTCTAGATAACATAATGTCTGGCCCTACCATTTTTCTCACTGAATAGAGATTGTAGAGTGAACAAAAGGTAAATGAACAGTGACTGGGGTTTTGTGCTTGTTTAAACTACATAGTGTAGGCTGGTTTATATTAGGCTGAATATTTGTAGTTATTATATTTAGTTGGCAAGGGTGACTAAGTCATGCTGTTTCTGCATTATTTTTTTATTTTTTATTATTTTATTTTAATTTTTAATTTTTTGCATTCTGGAATGCTTCTCAGATAAAATAAATTCTGTGGAGTGCTGAACATTTAATAATCATTTACCAAAGACAAACCCTCCCACGAGAAAGAAAGATGAAGAGAGCAAAAAGACAGACCTTTGACTTTTAAAGGTCTCCTTTCATTTGGCAGTGATTCATATTCGTAGTCAGCCCGTAAAGAAAACCCAATAAAAAGTGTGTGAACAGAATGGACATCCAGCAAAATGAGCTGAAGCTTATAAATATATCCATATATCAAGAGAATATATCGTTGTCCACACTTTAAATCGTTGTTTTACGATTAATTGTTTTATTGTGTCCGAATGTACGTCTACATTTATATGCAATACTGCAATGACACATTAAATTAATCAGAAGTTACAATAAAGACAATTATAATGTTACAACAACTGATAGATACGTGGCTACAAAATATTTCTGTTTCAAAAAATGTTGTTCATTTGAGATAGTTTTCAACATTGATAATGATTCTTGAGCAGCAAATCAACAAGGATGGATCATGTGACACTGAAGACTGGAGTAATGATGCTGAAAATGCAGCTTTGCATCACAGAAATAAACTACATTTTAAAATATATTCAAATAGAAAACAGTTGTTTCAAATTGTAATAACATTTCACATCATTACCGTATTTACAATCAAATATTAATGGTGAGCATAAGAGACTTCTTTCAAAAACAATTAAAAAAAATCTTACCAACCCCAAACTTTTAAACGGTAGGTTAATGTACTATGCATGAGTGCAAAGAGAGAGATTATGTTGTTCTTGTAGAATCATCCATGGGTTCTTTTCAGTTCTGTCTCTAAACGTTTAGTGGTAAAACATCGAACATCTCAGTCACTAGTCTCTGCACTTTCCATAATGATGTTATCCAGAGCCATACTGCAATGTGCTTGGAGACAGTCATGCTTACTCGCTCAAAATATGACACACATTAATGCTGTGGCGACATGGCACTAAAGTGTCTCATTTTCTGAATCGACAGGGGTGGCTGACACTGTGTCCAGACTCATCACGGGCAGAGCAGAGCTGTGGATCAGGTCAACACCTGAAGTATTGTCTTATAGAGAGGTGTCAGGCTGGTCAGGTCCACTCGTTGACGATTCATTAAAAGCAGATGGTGGTTTAGGCCCAGCTTTCTCCCTTTCCTCAGAAGAACACCAGGCCTCTTACGTAAAGGAGCCTCTGGGAATCTGACAAAATAAATAGCAATTGATCCCTGCCCACCCTCTCAGTCTGGTTAACTGAGGCTTCACTGACCAGCAAAAGTCCACAAAAGCCATTCAGTGTCTTTAATGATACGAATAGCTGGCTCTAAACGGCTGGCTTTATGCAACAGTGAGGAAGCAATAAGATCTTTTTCTAATAAGATGTGTGTGGTCACAGTGTGTGTGTGTGTGTGTGTGTGTGTGTGTGTTCATAATGTGTGTGTGCACTTGGATGGGTTTAATGCAGAGCACAAATTCCGAGTACGGGACACCATACTTGGCTTCACGTCACTTCACTTACTGATGCAGTTGGTCTGCTGTGAATAAAGGAAACATTTACAATGGAAGTGAATGGGGCCAATGTTTTGAGGATTTCAATGCAGAAATTTGAAGTTTATAATTTTATAAGACATTGTAGCGTTAATTCTACTAATTCCACAATTTTAGCTGTTTAAATCATTTTTACAGTTGTTTTAGGATTTATGGTCTTGCATTGTCATAGAAATGAAGTTTTAAAATGTGATATTACCACACAAAAAGATCTGTAAGTGATTTTGTCTCATTAAAGAGAATGAAATGAAAATTCTGTCATCATTTACTCACCCTCAAGTTGTTTTAAACCTTTATGAGTTTCTTTCTTCTGTGAAGCACAAAATAATATATTCTGAAGACTGTTGGTAATTAAACAGTTGACTGTAGCCATTGACTTCCATTGCAAGGAAAAAAAAATACCATTCAAGTCAATGGCTACCGTCAAATGTTACCAACTTTGGTTACCAATATTCTTTAAAATATCTTTTTGTTTTCAACAACTCATAGAGGTTTGGAGGGTGAGTAAATGATTAAATAATTGTCATTTTATGGTGAACTATGCCTTGAAAGTCTTGCTAGCGTGCATATTGTTTACATCTCGTGCTGCACTATTGAGATATTCATGGATTGGCCCCATTCAGATTCACAAAAGGACAACGACAAGAAGATTTTTATTATTTCTTTTTAAATCAACATTATGCTACAAGTGTAGATTGAGCTCACTGAACCTGGATTTTTTTTTTTAAACAATGATTTACTATTTATTTTAAGACTCGTAAGAACACTCTCAGATCATCTTTGTTAAGAAGCTTTTCGAGAGGTTTCTGACCATGGTAGGCTACAAACAAAAGGTTTTAAATTAATTTCAAATTTGTCCAAATAAATGATAGGTTACTTGTTAAATAAAATTCATGAAGAAATCTATCTAGTACTGTGGTCTGAACCAAAAAAAAGAAAGTTTTGTAGTCATTTGCTGATACTATGGAGTCAAGGTTTTTCTGGTTTATATAGCAAGCGTTTTTCTCCTTTGTTTGTCATTCACAAACTATCAAACCCAAACTGTTGTCTGTGTACTCTAACAAACTAACATTTTTGCTAGAAATATTTAAAAAGCAAGTATTTCAGTGTCACAGTATATTGCTTTTTTGTTTTTAGAGGGCCCTTAAAAGGTTGCCCTTTTCTGCTGCCTTTGACGTCACAACTCAAGATAGCCGCTAATAAAGAGCTTGAGGACTGTTTATGTTCTTGTGGTGCCATGAGCCCACCAGAGCGTTCTCCAGGTATTATAGACCCTTTCCTGGAACATATGTTTGGTGTGCAAATCTTCCAGCTTTGGGTGTGTCTGGAAGAGCCCAGCACTGATTCACCAGCAGCATAGAGTTGAGAATAAAATTCAGCAGCTAAATTATGCATAGCAGATGGTTGGGAGATGACAAAACTTCCATTATCCTTCAGGCACAACACTGGCTTCTCCTGTCTGATCTTTCATTTTAAATTGAAGAAAAATGTATCATCATCGTCTCTACTAAGAAATTCAGCTGTTGTTTCTTCTTGTTGCAGGAGTTGCCTAAATAAATGACAAATAAATTATACCCACATTCTGTCATACCAGCATTTTACTCTCGATAACAGACATGTCAGTCTCAAAGTTCGCTCTAGCGTCAGCGTTATCATGCCTGTTTAATGAGATTACAAAGAATTCATTTCAGCTTCAGTGACTTTGGATCATTGCAATATTCATGTACTTGTTTGTTTTGTCATGCTGTTTATATCACATTATTTTATGTTGTTATTATAGGCTGTTTTATGCATCCACACTACAAAAGGAATGTACTGACATATTTTATAAGATGAAATGTGCAATTCTTATGACATCTTCTCTTTTCTGTATGAGCCTTAACAATTTTCAGATGTTTTCACAGGTTTACTCCAAAAATGCAAGCAGTTCCAACCATAACACGTTTTTATTAGATTTACATGATAAAGATAGCATAATATAATACATATCATTAATACTATAGCATTATAATTCATTATAAAAATCTGTATATGGGTCAAAGACATTAAGATGTCCGCATCAAAAGAAATTTACAAAAGTGATTTTATGTCCATAGAAAGCACATTAAATGTAAGCAAAGTGTCTACTTTTAAGGTTTCAAATACGTTTTTGGAGAATAAAATGTCAACATTTGGTTTAAATAATGTTACATTGTCATTTGGTGTAACACAATATTTATGTAAAAATTCAAACAGCATGCTTATTCTAACGTGTACATATTAAAATATATAAAATAATAAGGGAGCATATTAAATTTGATTGTGTTTTAAATTAGTAAAAAATTCTTACTGACAAATGGGCAAAACCTAGGATAGTGGCAAATGTAAAAAAAAATGTAAAATTACAACTAATTAGTATTTGGGGTGAAAGTGATGATTTTGGGCATTTATTTTTGTCGTAAATATGCCTGATAAGATTGTTACACTGAATGACATTTTAGTGGGTCTCTTCTGTAAATCAGGGAAAAATGTATGATATTTATTTTTTGTTCAGAAAAACAAAAACAAAATTGCAATTAAATTAAACATATTTTTTTTTTGGGGGGGGGCAACAACAATTTAAAGCAGTATTACACTTATTGTTTATGTAAAAATGTAGTTTTCACAAAAATATTAAGCAGCACAAATGTTTTCAACACTGATAATGATTCTTGAGCAGCAAATCAACATATTAGAATGATTTCTGAAGGATCATGTGACACTGAAGACTGGAGTAATGATGCTGAAAATGCAGCTTTGCATCACAGACATAAACTACATTTTAAATGATATATTCAAATAGAAAACAACCGCAAATGGAAAATAACATTTCACAATGTTAAATTTTTTTAAATG